ACACACACACACACACACACACACTAGCGGATTAAGGGCGGGGCAACAGGGGCACGTGCCCCGGGCCCCCCACATTTGGGGCCCCCCACATTTAGAGTATCCTAAAATTTACAAAACTGTCGTAATTGTGATCCACAAAATTCTTAGCATGTAACGTTGAAGTGATGCGTTTCCCATGCTGTTTCTCTGACTGAATTTTGCTGTTCAGCTGAAGGACACTTTCCCTAATACCGAAATTGCTCTGAGAATCTATCTTTCATTGATTGTCTCGAATTGTAGCGGTGAAAGGTCATTTTCAAAACTCAAGTTGATTAAAAATCACATGAGAACCACGATGAGCCAACAGAGACTGGTAAACCTCAGTATTCTCGCTATCGAAAGTGACATTTTAAATTCGTTGAAACACGATGAAATACTCTCTGAATTTGCAAGCATGAAAGTGCAGAAAAAATACAGACTATAGGGCCCCCACACAATTGCGTGCCCCGGGCCCCCCACACGCTTAGTCCGGCCCTGGGAACTATATATGTGTGATGATCGAGCATGACACCCACCCACATGTGTGAAGAACCACCGCAGTACGCAGCGGTATGCGAGCGAGAATGCTACCGGAGCAGCAGCATAGGGGAGCGCCGTTGCCTGTTTGACATTTCGGTTCTGTGCTCCCGCGTTTTTAACCAGTTTTATTTTGATAGAGGAATGACTGCGGCTCTCTAGAATCAACCCTTGTTCCCGCGCAATGACTTGCGCTAAGTGCACGCGCTTGGAACATGTACGGATATCAACGCTTCGGGCTGACTGATTCTATTCCGGGAGCCAGGTGCTAGACTTCCCCCTGTCCGTTTCGTTATCCGTCGATAGTAGCGCGTTGTGTATACACACAGCCGCTATATGTCAGCGGCAGCAGACGGTTGGTGCCCATCAACAACATATGGTCGCCCATTGATCGCCGACAGTACTCAGCTCGGCGGTCGTGTGTCTGTATGTGTTTGGTTAGGTTTCTGTCCAAATGTCGTTGTGGTTGTCGTCGTCGAATGTTTCGACGACAGCGTTTACTTGTACGTCCACGCAGACTATTCTCGTCGCTGTGATAATCTCGCTACTGCTCAGGTATGCGTGGGATCAAGTACGCAAGGGGAGAAATCTACCACCGGGACCCGTCGGCTGGCCGCTGCTAGCAAACCTATCGGTGCTACGGCGGTCGGCGCACGCGTCCCTAGCCGAACTGTCGCAGCGTTACGGCGACGTGACCAGCCTGTACATAGGACGTCGGCTGGTCGTCGTGCTCAGTAGCTACGCTGTGATAAGAGAGGCTTTCGTGAAGCAGGGCGACGTATTCGCTGGTCGGCCACAGTTGTTCATCGACGACCTTTCCGATGAACATAAAGGTGAGTTGTCGGTACAGTACATAATAATGCTTCTGCAGCCCATTACTGTTCAGTACAATACAATACAGTGCAGTACAATACAATACAGTACAGTACAGTGTAGCACAGATCAGCAGAGCACAGTAGAACGTAGACCAATAAATTGTGCCCTAAAATTTTTTATATTCTGATGTTATTTTAGCATGTTATTTTCTGATGTTTTTAGGATGTTATTCTGATGTTATTTTAGGATGTTATTTTCTGATGTTTGTTCCTAAAATAACATCAGAATATAAAAATTTTTAGGGCACAATTTATTGGTCTAAGTAGAACGGCACAGCATAGTACTTACAGCACAGGTGATGGGTATAGCCCAAGAAGCTCCAAGAAACGGTCTTGCTAGGGTTAGAAGACCCCTTGTATAGATAATCGGTCGCACAGCTTGGTCGGGCTAAGCCTATAGGTGATTGGTGTAAGCTAGGTGAGTCACCTGGGGTCATTCCCAAGATCCCCAAGGAGCCAAGGTCCCCAAGGAGCCAAGCTCCCAAGGTCCCAAGGTTCCCAAGGTCTCTGATTACGGAATCAAAACAGTAGTGTAGAGAAAGTACCGAGGCGAGAGTGAGAGCGTGTCGAGCTCAAATCTCTTCAATAAGATGCACTTCTATAGTGCATCTACATGAATCGAAGAGCACGAAATAATCTGCTCTACCACGTCTTGAATATCTACAGCCTCCAGAAATCTGGGTTGCATCATTTCCATGTTTCTGTGAAGTTCACAAAAGAACTTCCAGTTATTTTGGGAAATAGTTATAAAGAATCAATGCACCCCTGGGTTTTCTTTGCATGCTGAACATACTGTAACACATACATGTATACGTAACACATACATGAACACGTTATACGTAACACATACATGTAACATATGTATGTGTTACGTATACATGTGTTACGCATACATGTTACATGTTATGTATACATGTATGTGTTACACATACACGTACATGTATGTGTTACACATACACGTACATGTACATGTTACGTATACGGTATACCGGTACATGTATGTGTTACGTATACATGTATGTGTTACATATACATGTACATGTGTACATGTGTTACATATACATACATGTATGCGTAACACGCACATGTATAAACACATACATGTATTCGTAATACATACATATGTATGTGTATAAACGCATACATGTATAAACACATGTATACATGTATTCATAACACATACATGTATACAGTAACACATACAGTAATTATTTTAACAGACCGGTTTGGCAGAGATTTAGATTCCTGATGGAAATGTCAGGAGCATCCACTGGCTGTCAGTGTCATTAATCACTATGTTTTTACATATGGATGAGCGTGGGAGTATAAAAAACACTAGCCCACTTGAACCAGTTACTTCTTGACATTCAAATGATCTATGTACATACATATATCGATCAAAATCAACAATACGTACCGAAAAAATCACTTTCTATTCGTGGTCGTTGGTGCTGTCCTTATTCGAGTTTCGCGACCCCAGCATTTTACTTTTTACTTCGCTGCTGTACCCAAAAGGGCTTCTATTCCAAGTGTTTTCTCTACGACTGCAGGCATCATCACCACCGACGGACGGCAGTGGAAGCAGCTGCGAAAGTTTGCGCTCGTCGCTCTGCGTCAGGTCGGCATGGGGAAGCCGAAGATGGAGCGACTCATCGCCGACGAGGTGTCCGGTCTCCTCGGCATGTTTCGCGACACGGGCGGACGTGCGTTCGACCCGCGCCGCGCCGTCGTCACGAGCGTCGCCAACGTCGTCTGCCGCATGCTGTTCGGCGTCCGCTACGAGCACGACGACGCCGACTTCGCCGCGCTCCTGCACGACCTCGACGCGACCTTCGAACTCGCGCGCAACGCGTCCGTGCTCAACTTTGCGCCGCTGCTGCGCTTCGTGCCAGGGGGCGCCGCGCGGCGAGACTACGTGGCGATCGATGCCGGCGTGCAGAGGCTGAAGGCGTTTATCGACGCTCACGTCGGCGCGCACGAGGCGACCTATGACCCCGGTCACGCCCGCGACATCACCGACCTGTTTCTCGCAGAGATGAAGAAGGCGGACGCCGACGCGGAGGTTTACAACGGTGGGTTTTCTTTCTCGTGCAGGGTTCCCATGGTCATTAAAAGTCATTAAAAGTCATGGAAAATGGATTTTGGTTTTCCAGGCCTTGAAAAGTCATGGAAAATGGGAAAAGTCATTCAAAGTCATTAAATTTGAGATTTTCTTATGTTTTTTTTTGATACATTGTGTCTCAAATGTTATACAAAAGCTATTGATTTCAGGGTCATGCATTATGTTAAATAAAGTTTATTAACATTTTTTCGAAATCGATGCACTGATCTATGATTCGTTATTATATGCAAATTCTTCTCAATAGTCAATTCTTCTCATTAGTCATTAAATTCGGAAATTTTAGTTATGAAAAGTCATGGAAAAGCCATTAAATTTCACTCCAGGTGATCTGTGGGAACCCTGTCGTGGCGTAGAGTGAACGTTTTGTGCCAGGGGTTCGGCACCTGGAATTTGTCTTATATCAGTTTGCGGCCAGCAAAATATTTTTTTCCCGACATAGGGTAGTATTGATTTTGGTAATCCTAATTGTCCACATCTGTATTGACCTGAATGTTGTTGAATAAATATTGACACACTTAGTTACAAGTTTGAATGTATCTGACAACACTTCGCTAAGAGATAGATGTAGGTCTGTGGTAGCCGATGTGATACATCAAAAGTGTGCCCAGCTTCACACTAATGTAGTATATATTTATCTGGTTGCAGTGGAGCAACTAAAGATATTTTTACTAAACCTCTTCGTCGGTGGCACGATGACAACATTCCTAACCATCAGGTGTTCGCTGAGATTCCTCAGCGAACACAAAAGTATTCAGAAGAAGGTGCAGGCAGAGTTAGAGGAGGTGATCGGCTCTGGACGTTTGCCAAGATTTCAGGTTAGATTCATTAAACATTTATCAGCCTGGGCGGATCTAGGGGGGTGTCCGGGGGGTCGGGGGGTCTGGACCCCCCCCTTTAATTTCAAAGTGCCCTAAAAAATTACTGCTCAGATGCTTTCAGAATGCACCCATTTTGAAATATTTTCTTGGGGGAGGTCTCCCAAACCTAACCCCCCCCCCCAGGTGGCGAGGTGCCTTCGACACGTCGCTTAAGCTGCCTGTGGCAGCTTTTTAAAACACCAGAAAAATTAAGCAGGAAAGAGTGCCCTTTATTTCTTCCTGGACACCCCCCTTTCAAAAATACTGAATCCGCCCCTGTTTATGACTAATTAAGTGTGAGCTCTACCATTCGCATTTGGTTAAAAATCCACGCCCTGCAAAAAGTCAAAAGGTCATTTTAATTACAGCATCGATTCATTGATGGACAAGCTCGCTGAAATGGTTTTTTGCTAGTTTGTAATAATCTGCATGTACCTGTTGTGTTCATGTTCGTATCTTTCTCGGTCATTCAGGATAGAAAGAATCTTCCATACACAGAGGCGACCATCATGGAAGTGCAGCGATTTGGTCCGGTCGTTCCTCTGGGCATCGTGCACTGCAACACAGAACACACGAGCCTGCGAGGGTACGAGATACCCAAGCACGCTGTCGTATTCGCCAACATCTGGAGCCTGCACATGAGCAAGGAGTTCTGGGGTGATCCTGAAACATTCCGGCCGGAAAGGTTCTTCGATGGAACAGGAAGCTTAATGCGGCCAGATAATCTCCTGCCGTTTTCGATCGGTGAGTTAATTGTTTTCTCGGCTCCATCTGCTCTGTCACTGAGGATTTAACATCAGTCGTGTGTATCGTAGAATTTCATAATGAGAGTAACAGTATCGACTAGTCCATATATAGCATTACTGAGAGCTTTGATTTGCTTTAATCGGAATTGTATCTTAGAAATTTATAAAGGAAGATAAAATAGCTCACCTACAGTGGTTCATCGTTACACTAAACGCTACTACTGTGCCAAGGCTTTGTTGTAACCATAGGCGACATGTCATTTGATCTCTTTCAGGGCGTCGTGTGTGTCCAGGGGAGGCCCTCGCGAAAATGGAACTGGTGCTCTTCATCACATCCATTCTGCAACACTTCACACTGACTCTGGAAGCGGAGGAGGAGTTGCCCAGGGATGCCGCGAGAGGGAAAGCTTGGAACAAGAAGCCCATAGCTCCAGCGGCGTACTACATCACTGCTAGGGTGCGCTGTTGAAGCAGTGACCTTTACGAAATCATGTGAGGAGTCTGGAATAAATTGTGAGACTTCTGAGATGAAGAAGCCCTAAATACCGGCAGCTTCGCATTGCATCGCACGATGCTGCTGATATACAGACAATCACTGAAGCACTGAAGCCAGTGTCGAGTCGGAAGGCAGCTGGGAAAACGAAGCCTATATGGCTCCAGCTTTGGGCCGCCTCTGAGCCACGCCAGAATGTGGATGCTAAATGTTCCAGACAATCATTGATGCTGGCATGACTGACATGCCAGTTGGGGAGAAGGAGCCCAGGAGCCCGTTGTCAGAAACAAAATTAGTCTCAACATTAGTCTTAACATTAACTTTTTCTCATATACCATTGACAGAAACACGGTAAGGTTGAGTGTCTCACGGACAGTGTCGAGTTGCAGTGGCGCCCGCAGATAGAAGCACTGGAAGCACAGTGCTTCCAGTAAATTTTGGGTTAAACAATTTTGTTCTTACATTTTGTTCCTAAATCTCTCTCGAAAGATTCAACAGATTGCATCTCCAGACGTCTACCATTCAAAAATTTTCAGGGGGGGGGGCATGCCCCCAGACCCCCTTAGCATGCAGCGCGCCTACGGCGGTTGCTTTTTATTAGCACTGAGGATTTTATCCTTCTGTGCTTCTACTTTCTTACGATCTGTGGGCGCCAGTGTACAGTTGTTCGATCAGCGAGGAAAAGTTTATTGTAAGACTAATATGTTTTAAGAGTAATTTTGTTTCTGACAACAGACCCAGACTTCTAGCATCACATAACGTCACAGCCACGCCGTGATGTTGAAGCTGTTACGTGTCTAGAGTCATAATCTTGGATGCCTAGTCACTAGTGAGGCATCTGGCAGGATGTCCATGGCTACAAGCTTGCACCGCATCAGTACCAACACCGCAACACTGATGCCGTCATGTTCTAGGTCATAATAAGTGCACCATCTAGTTTTTAGTGATAAAAGTATGTTGTTAAATTAACGATACTGTTTTGTTGTGCTGCTATTTTACGATGTTGACACTGTTGTTGTTTTTTGGCAACTCCCAGGAGGAGGTGTGTCGTCATGCACAATTGTGATCGGTACGTGGGAACGATTGTCTCTGGTATACATGATTCATGTTGTACCGCTACGTTGGTGCTGTCAGTGCTGATGCCAATTAAACTCGTGCGTATGAAAATGTGACATGTGAAATCGGATTGTTTGTCATTGAAATTATGATACAGTGTATGCGTGTACCTGTGTAAGTTTACTGTGTCTCTATTAAGTAATAGCAAGTATCCATTCAGTGAATTAAAAAGAATGGCTATCTTCCATATGCCCTGTTGACAGGAGGTCTATGAGAAATTCTACGTATGTATACGTATTGAACAGCATAATTTAATCCGATATTTTTTGCAAATCATGGGAGCTAGTGTTCGTATGATGTTTTATCAAGCCATTCTTACGTCACACGGTCAGTACGTTTTGGGGGATGCATGACTACTTGCTTATACAGAGTCTTACTCGTTGATCAATTAGCAATCATGTGCACATAGTTTTTGCTAACGAGTTTTACGCCCTAAGATTTAACCAGCGTAGTAAATATGTTGTGGTGTGAATTCACGATAGACCTAGTCTAACCTTCCAACAAGTGACGTCTTCTTTGTTTGTTTTATTTTGCATTTAATTAATTGTCTTCACAACTGGGATGGAAATGCCTCCACTACGTTTCGTACGCATGGCACGCTATATTTTACGCAAACGAGTTTTGCACGCTCACAACCCAGTCGACGCTTCTTTTCTTTTCTTTTTGTCCATGTTGCTTATTTAAATGTTGCTGTGTGTGCAATTAATGCCATCTAGCTGTTTGCATTTGTGTACTTCGAGCTCAATTGAGACGGCGAGTCAACTCGTCAGGCCTTGTTCATCTTGACGTTTACCGATTTGTTGTTACGTTGAGATCGTTCCACTCGGCTAAAATATCCTCGCCAAAATCAGATTGGCATATGAGAGGTCCAGTGACACTTTGTGTAAACAGTGTGAATGCATTTTGTTCGCCTATCAAAAATCTCATTGCGTTTTAGAGTCAATTCGTTTGTTGACTTCACCTGCTATTTTCGTCCTGCGCGTAAATTGTATTGAAAGGGCCTGTACGTGTAGTTATCTTCTCGATGGTTGATATTTTTATTCGCATCAGTGCTACTAGTGTGATAGTCATTTAATTATTTATAGCAAAGCGCTCATATGTGTTCTCTGTTTGTCATGCGTACCATGTAATGTTACGGAGGTTTTTATAAGAATATGCAATAAACTCTTTTGTGACACATCCTGCATTTGTTTCTGATAATATTCGTCGTCGGCTGTATTTTGGTCGGTTCGGTATTGTGTGGCAAATACAAAGCCTCGCCTCGCTTACCTGTAGGTGGCGCTTTGTAGTCGTCCTGCTACCATATTCGTGCTATTTGTTTGGATGCACGTGTTTTATTTGACACATTTCCCATGTGCGTGCGTGCGTGCGTGCGTGGGTGCGTGCGTGTGTGTGTGTGTGTGCGTGCGTGCGTGCGTGCATGCGTGTTTGCTTGAATCAGGTGTATGTATGTGGTCAATAGTTGCGTAACGGCAAAGCAACACTATACCTTTCACTAGAGGACGGTGCCTCCGCTGTCATCCTTCATCGTCTACTATGTGTGCATTCTGGCGCATGCAATGTGTAGGTAGGTACACATGCGCATCCCGCCGCGTTATCACACAATAATGGCTTCAAAGCTCGAAGATCATCCTAAGTATCACTTGCAAAACATTAAAATATGGAAAAGAGGCATCTAGTGTTGGTAACTACTGCTAATTATTTATACTCAAATTACAAATAGTTCCAGTGTTCTCTTTGAAAATTTACAACGCACACATCCGATTGTTTATCCCTTGCATGCAAATAGCTAAAGAGTTGTTTAACCATCTACCGAAATTTCGGGGTAAGATTTTTATAATATATATATATATATACATATATATATATATATATATACATATATATATATACATATATATATATACATATATATATTTATTTATATTTATTTATTTATGTAGCAACTGCTTTGTATACCACAAAGGCACAGACGGATTTAATGTGTTATGAATCTATGATAAAAACCTTTTAACTAAATCAAAACATAATTAATCAACCTCCTCCAACCAATCCATCCATCCATCCATCCATCCATCCATCCATCCTAATCCATCTCCTGCGTTATTTCGCTAGATTCTGCATGGGGAATGTTTTATGAGGTTATGAGTATGATTTATTTAAAACTGCACACTACAAATTTTCATCATGCATTCGTTATTGCAAAGTGTAAAAAAGACCGCACAGGTTTTACACATTATTATCGCGTGTAGACTAACACAATGAACAATGCAGTTATGCAGGGCAACGGTTGCTAAGCGACCGACTTGTCTTGGTTTCTTGAATCTTTATTTCGTTATGAGAACTTTGGCGCAGAGTAGAAGGTAACGAGCGGAATGGAAGCGTCGTGGGAGCAGGTGCCTAATATCGTGCTCGTGCAGGTGTTCTCCCGCCTGTCGGACAGCGACCGGCTATCGGCCTCGCTTGTCTGCCAAAAATGGCGGCAGATATTTCGTTACCCGAGTCTGTGGCGCACGCGCTGTTTCGACATCAGTCGCGGCCACACGGGCGAGGACGCGCGCGCCATCGCCTTCGCCAGAAGTCTCGGACCGTGCCTCAAGCAGCTCTACGTCATCCTCAACCACCCGACGTACATCGGCTGCCGGCGAGCGCAGAAAACGATGACGTCACTGCTTTCGCGGCTCTACGGCAAGGCGCAGCTGGCGGAGTTCGTCATGCCGCATCTGGAGATGGACCGCTTCTGGAAGTACGACTCGGTGCGCGATCGTCTGTTCCGCTCTCTCGCGAGATTCCTGCGCGGACAGAGGCGTCTGCGCGCGTTCGACATGTCAGGAGCCAGCGTGATGCCTAGCGAAGGTTAATTGTTGCTATATACCGCCCGCAATCACACCGCCGCACGCGATGCGAGCGCCACACACGACATCATCAAACGCTCAATAATTTACGCACCCGGCAGATAGGTGCGATATGATATGACTACTAGGCACTTAGGATATGACTACTAGG